GAAAAGGACAACAGTTATGGTACTAGTGATCATCATTGCGTTCCCTCGCAATTCAGTGTGTCCTGCTCTTGTAAACTGCACTCACATTGAAGTACTTCTTCAATAAGCAATAAATCTAAAAGCACTTTCTAAATCAGTTAGAAATTTTTGAAAAGCATTTTTCACGGACCCCCTTAAAAGTCATCTCAAACTCACCCCCTTAAGACCAGCTCATTTGATAACTATTTGAATTTACATTTCTAGTTTTTGAAAATTAGCTTACAAACACTACTTATATGGTGAGAAAACAAGCATAACGTTTTTTAGAAAAAAAACATAATTTTAAAAAACAGACAATTAGAAACAAAATCGTTATGAACAGGTCATAAAATGTTTTGACTGCATACTTCCTCAAACAGTAAATTTAACAACAGAATAGACAAGAAAGTCAATATTGTAACCCACAAACTACCTGATGATAAGCCAGAGCAATGGAGACAGCCCCTCTCATGAGACCAGCCCACCAAATTATAATCTACAAAACCAGGAAGAAGCGCATGGTTTAAAAATAGGGTAATAATTGCAAGAAAAAAGAACTGTTTAAAGTAATGAAACCAAGTTCTAAGGAATGCATACTTGTTCCCTCAAGGTAATTCTCTGATCCGGCGATTTTTTAGCTAAGTTGGATAAAAATGAGAGCGGGAAAACAAAAGCCGCTCTTCCAACCATAACCAGGCCTAGTAATATTGCACTCACAGAAACTGAGGTCCCCGGACTGAAATATCCGATATGAAGATGTAAAATATAGAAAATAAGTTTGTTGAGCAGACAAACATTTGATATCACATTATGCAACGGTTAAAAAGATGAGAGCAGCATATTCAACCCGGCAAAAGAAAAATAACATGATATACCTATCACTAACAAAGCTCCACTTCTCGATGTCCAACGCATCCATGCCAACATAAACAAAGATAAAGGTCTCGGAAATGAAGGATAAGGTAGCGAAAGCGTGCCTGTGATAGCGGATAAAAAGACAGCACGAGTTAACGAGAATAAAGAATTCCAGTCACAAGTATCACTAAAGAATTACAAAAGGTTGAAGCATTACATACTTAGTGGTAACTCTTGAACTCTCGGTCACATTATGCCAGGTATAGTGAGACATTACAATCCCACAAAAGAACACCGTGAGAATGCCACTTAAATCTAATAACTGCAGAGAATATCCACAAAGTAAAACAAAGACGGTCACTGGGAATGTATGTATAAGCAGTCGAAGTTCAGTATATTCATACAAAATTCTTACTTCAGCCAGCATATATGAAAGGTACGCCATGAGCATCATTAGAGCCACCTCACGATCTGTTGAGTGCCTGAATTTTATCAGTAAATTAACTAATATAAGTTACCTCATCCCATCAAATTCTTCGTCAGAAGAGATGCAAAAAGGAAACAAGAAGGCTTATTTTTTTATCTGCTGTGTTGATTTTAAATTTTTTATTTTTGGTTAAGAATTCCAGCCGGTATGCAGTCCCCATCTGTCAGCCTGGTAAGTTGAAACAGTCAAAATTGCTAGACAGATTCACCTTTGTGATTCTCATCTTTGAAGAAGTTAAACTTGAAAGAAAAAAAAAATTGAATTTTGAACATAAGATTGATTGTTTTCAGTTTTATTTTTAAACTATCGTGAATAGAACTTAAGAAGTTCTGCTTTCTCTTTCTTAACCTTGGATATAATCATTCTGGTTTCTCTTTCTTAACCTTGGATATAACCATCATGGGCTTGGACCATATAGTAATCCAAAGGACCTCAGGTAAACTTTAAAGAATTTAGAGAGAATTGATTCAAACTATGGTTGTCACCTACCTAGGTTTGGTTATCCTATGAGCTTTCTTGGAACCCAATGTAGTAGGATCAGGCGATTGTCTCATGAGATTACTCGAGGTATGCACAAGTTAGCCCGAAAACTCACGAATACCAACAACAAAAAAGAAAATAGGGATATCTGGACTACGCTTATGAGCTATTTGACTAATTCAAAGGGTCCATCACTTAAATCAATGCCATATTTTAAACTTCTTCTATGTAGAAGTTTTAAGCTTTCCAAAGCTTAAAATCAGAGGAGCATTACTTACAAAATCAACCCCTAATAACAAATTTAAATCCATAGGAGAATTAATTAATTGTCAGTATTCTTAAAGTTTAAACTAATAATAACAAGATGAAACTTTACAACGAAATATGAAAATACGATGAACAATGATTGTACTACTACAAGTTACTTATTGGCCACCTACTAAATGAACTAAGAATACACAAAGAGAAGAGTCTACACGAAGAACAATTTTAAAAACTTTAGTTTGAAAAGATATACCTGCCAAAGTACAACTTTTTGATTGTGTAAGCACTCAGCAGCCCAACCTGCAAGCGAACATGATGTGATTGCATGTTCCATTATAATAGACAGTTCACTTGCACGCACACAGGACGGGAGAGATAAACGTAAAGAAGAGATTGATGAATAGGAAGAGAACTCACAAATACTCCAAGTAGGGTGCTCAAGGAAAACAAATAAAAGAAGCTCCCAATAAAATGTAAAGCAACTTTTGGATCAAATTTACTAAGGTCTAAGCTCTGGATTGCATTGAAAAGCACCACAGATGTAGCATCATTTACTACACCCTCCCCGAATACTAGACTGTAAAGTAGAGGTGTTTCATCCTGATTTAATATCTGGACCATCAAATGCATTAATATTAGTTTCATTGTACACCAACTGCCAGGTAGGCTAACTACTTCAGAAATATATATATATATATATATATAAACAAACTACAACATCATTTTATCTCGCACCTGCAATGTGCATACAGAATCTGTTGCAGCAAATATTGCTCCAATTGCTGTGATAGAATACAAAGACATTATAGTCTTAAAACATAAAAGATCTTTTACAAAGGAGACAAAAAGGAGATATGTAAAGAATAAGGTTGTACCTAAAATATCAGCAATATCCAGCGATCCAACATCCATTTTCTTAAATAACTGCAAAGCACCTGAATCAGGCACCAGAATTTATATGTGACAGTGAGAGATCTATTAATGATAACTCGAAAACTAGAAGATAATTACAATAAATGATAAACAATGGGTAAAGTCAAGGTAAAACTCTGTTGAATGTAAGTTTTAAAATATTGCACACAAAGTAATTAGAACTAAAAAGGTCCACCAAAGGGATTGGATGCTAAAGCAGAGGATCAAGATGTACATCTAAGAATTATTAGAGGAAGAACTACAAAATTTTTCAGATTGATTTTCTTCAACTTTTTTTTAAGAAGAAAATTTTAGCACATTAAGATTCTGGAGAAATCATAGGGTTTCTTAGAAGCATTGAGCATCAGCCACAAGCGAAAAATAAATGAAGATTAACTGCAGAAAATGATGAATTAATAATATGAAAAGAACGTTTTCAGGATTGTTGTGCGATCGTTATAGTGAAATTTTAGGCATTCATCATACTGGAATGGAAGAATATATATATATATATATATATTTTTTTTTTCTTATCACATATTTCATCATTGCTTATTGGAAAGGAAAAATATAAAATCAAAAAAAGAAATATAGTTTGAAGATATACCTACTGAGATGATTAAACAAGAGATTAATGTACCAATTGCACCGAATAGCATAATTGTCATAAAGTTAACAAAGAACTGCTTCTTTTTCACCTGAAACCTGATGCAGAAGGAGAGATCAGCCAAGACAAAGCACTAGGACTTTTTCCCTCAATACATATTTCTTTAGTTCCTCTTCCTAGATCAAGAATAACAGAACACTAAAAAAAACAGCAAGAAAATAGGAAAATGGTAAGGTCACTGATCATCATTTTGTCAAATAAAAGTGATTTTGATTACTTTGAAGTTCATTATAACTCGCCACGAATCCAAAGCACATAAATTGTTGTTTACGGTGTAAAATAGAATTCTGAAATTTTCCTTGCATAAGCATACAAACAACACTCGTGAATACAATATACATACATATAGCTCACCACAAAACAATAAATCAATCAGATCCTACAAACGCAGTCAGAAAAAACTTATTTTCAATAGAATGCAGAATTCTGAGTTTCAAAAAGTATACACAAGATAAATAGTTTGCTAGCGCTCATATGCTGTTTGAAGTTAGAAAAACAAAAGCCTCATGGTGAATAACAGTACATTGGCTAAAATCTAAATCAACCTCAGGGGAATATGTTTCCCTAAATTTTCAGAGCAATATATCCAAACAAAGTTTTTGGTTACCACGCCAGCACAAATGACAAGTTTAATTTCAATCTGAAGCCTTTCTAGTAAAACAGACCAGCACATTATAACGCAAGCAGAACAAGAATACTTGTATGTAATAAATGGTGTGGTGCAGAAAATTTACCCAGCATTGAATATAATAGGTGGCAGAAGATAAATAAAGAATGTGTCTTCGTCAAATAGCATCAGATGCGAACTTTTCCCACCACTGACCAGTAAAATAATGACTCCAGTACACAGACCCTGAAACAAAAGGGTAAACATTAATTACCTCATGCCATCACAGAGTAAGAAATTCAATCAAGATCTATGATATCAATTATCAAAGTTAATCTTCTGGGCTCATTTTGATAACCATTTCATTTTTGGTTTTCTGTTTTTAAAAATTATACTTGATTTCTCACCATTTCTTTTCGTATATTTTTCACTTTCCTTTCCTGATAAATGGTTATCAAACAAGTTCTTGTTTTTTCATCCAAGACATAACATTAGAACGAAAAACTCACAATCAAGAGGGCAGTGATGGACTCATTCATCCACCGGTTCTCCTCAAGAAGATGACCAATAACGATACAAGCACAGAGAAGTGCCACAAATAAGTTGATGGAAACCACAGAGGCATGATCGGAAGTGGATAACGCTTCCCATTTGGACACAACGTAGCTCAACATAGGGGTCATTTTATCAGCCTCTTCAATGGAAGAATCAGTTTGCCCACAAATAATTTACAGAGAGGTTCCAAAATCAAAATATTCTCAGTTCCATCAAAGCGTAGAATTTAGAGAATCTAGGCCTTCGAACCGTCCATCTCAACAACTATACATACACTCTCATTAACAATGAAGTCCCTGCATTACAACAAAAATTTAAAAGAATTATTTAGATTGCATAAAAAAAAACATATATTCCTTTTGTTCGAACGCTTTCAAAAGTAAGGAAGGATACAATCATTGAATATTAAGCCTAGAAAAAATCCCGTAGATTATATTTTGAAGAAATTAACTGCACAGATTTCAGAAACAAGCCGCTGAAGATATATAGCTGCTCGAACCGAAACTCTCCTCCAAATTTTCCTTCATTATTCCCTCTGTTCTCGCAACAATGAGACAGAGAACGAAACACAGACACCATAATTCTCATTCATGATTAGAAAAAACAAAAAAAAACACAATCAAGTACTCACCTACGCACTTCGAATCGACATGGAAGAACACAACATTATAAATTCCCCTTTACAAACTCCGTTGATCCGCGAAACCGCCAAGTCAAATTCCAAATTCAGAGACACCAAATCTCCTCCACTCGGAATTCGCCAGCCGCTGTGTTCAATCAAGAGGAGCTCGAGAGGTTCAAAAGCGACTCAATGGGAGCGAATCAAACGAAAGAAACAAGACGGAAGCGTACGGGAAAGAAAAAAATTCCGCCCCGATAACTTCTGTCCTTCAAATCTCGAGAGAGTTTTTGGGAATGAAACTCCTGGAAAGATTTGAGAAAATTGGATGAACAAATTATACTACTGGTTTCTAGAGAGATAAAACGGAGATAGACGTGGGGAGAACAAAGTGGAGGAGAGAGAAACAGAGGGGACATAAGCGGAGCACACGGGTTTTTCTAAACTACACCTGCTCCGTACCACAGACAATGCACGTGACCCATCCTGGCCGTTCATTTTCCAATCTGTCATCACATGGGCTTCCACGCGTTGTGGTACTGTAGATCCGGTTCCACCGTAGCATAACCCGCTTCCCAAATAGTATGAGAGCATAAACTTGAAGAAATTAAGAGAGAGAGAGAGTAATTGTGTAAACTATTAACCTTAGTAAAATAAAAAAAAAGGAAAATAAATAAACAAAAACAAAAACAAAAAGGAAGTTCTGGAAACAGAAATTAAATTTTCTAAACTTGAGGCGCTTACATTAATAGCATAAAATAAATGTACTTTTAAAAAATAGTAAAAGAGAAAATAATTTTAATTTTACAAAACTATTTTCTTTTCAATATAACAAATATGTGTACAGGGATTAAACTCTCCCATCTTTAAAGAAATGATAACATGTCTTAACCGTTAAACTATGTTTATGTTGACATAATCAGAATATTATTTAAAACTATTCCATTGAGAATTCTGAATACATTAAAGATATGATGGCTAATTTTAAAAATACAAAAATTAAAATAAACTTTTTGAAAATACAAAAATTAAAATAAACAAAAGTAAAAAGTACGGGAACAAGAATGCATTAAATAAAGACCCTCAGAATTGGAGCCAAAATAGAATTTGCAGTAAATTTTAAGAATCGCAATCAAATTAAAAGGTAACTTTTTAAAAGAATCCACTTGGCAAGAAATTAATGGGGGATCTACAGTAAAATCTGTGATGGATTTCTTTTCCTTATCCAAATGTATGGGAATCACATGAGTAAATTTGTCCAACTTTTTTGAGTTGCTGGAGAATCACGGACCTCAGCTTTAAAGGTTGCTCTTCTTTTTCATCCTTTTCTTTCTAATTAAAAAATAATAATTTATTTTTGCCAATAGATAAAATACATATTATTATCCTTTTAAAGCTGATGATGGATCTCCCCACTGTATTATTGTTTGATTAAAAAAATTTAGTAATTAAAAAATTATAGTATTCATGTTGTAGTTTCTCAAAAAATAAAAATAAAATAAACAATTTATTGTGTGAACTCAAACAAAGATATTTTATTATAATTTTAATGTTTATTGTTAGTTATTTATAAATTGTTCACACAACAAACTTGATATTTTCTTTTAATAAGTACAAAAGTTAAAAAATATTAAAAAGCAGGTTTAAGCTAAAGTATTAAATTTATTTGACATGTCACATTTCTATATAGGTCTATAGATTCGACATTAATGTAAAAGGTAAATCAACATTATACTAATATCGTAAAAAAAAATAACAATATTGACATAGTATTAGTAATAAAAAAATTTAACTTATTTATAAAGGTGAAGTGATTATTTTTTTATTTTAATATTTTAATATTATTTCATAAATATTTATCAATATCAACATTTTATCTCTATTTTTATTGAAATTTCGATAAATTATTATTTTCTTAAATTGAAACATCAACATTTTGATCCACCCTAGTTTAAGGGAAAGGAAAATTATTTTGATACGAAAATAATTACTAAATTAATTCGGTCGTTTTACTCACTCTTGATGATTAATAAATAGAATACGACTTTATTTAAGTTTAAGGTGATACAAAGTACAATAATTGAAGGGGGGAAATCTGATAGTGCCATGCCACCAACCTTTTTTTTCTCTCTCTCTCTCTTTTATTCCAATCATTGATTAATTTTGATAATTAAAACAGAAAATATAAAATTTCACAAAAAAATTGAATTTAAACCTACGTCTCCTATATATATATATATATATATTTTTGGTGTTTGTACTTCTCAACTTTTGATTGATTTGGATTTTTGTATACTTTTAACATGTTTATTTTAATTCCTATACTTTTAACTTTTATTATTTTAATCTATATTTTTTCAAAATATTTGTTTTGATCTTGTACTTTTAACATGTGATCATTTTTTATCCATATTTGTCAAATTTTCACAAATTTATACACGATGGAAACTCTTAATATAAATTTGTAGCTACATTTCAAGAAATTGATTGGATGAAATGTCATCCTAAAATTTTGGTTGAAATAAATGAGATAAATACTACAAAAAAAAAATATATATATATATATATATATACTTTCAGAGATGCGAGAAAATTGTCGGTAAGATTATGAAATTGTCGCTAGAGTATTTAGTGACGAGACGCGATTTGTCACTAAAAATATTGCTAATAGCACGTCTTCGTAGCCTTTAATAACTCTAGGTCGCTAAAACCATGTGTTCAGCGACTCGAACACGTGTTGCTAATGATATATTCAGCGACTCGCTTTGGCGTAGTCACTAACAATCTAGTATTAGTGACTGCTGTTAGTAAAATTCGTCTTCTTATAGTAAAAAATGAAAATGAAGAGATCAAAATTATTACTTTTAAAAAATATAATGACCAAAATGAATATTTAAAAAATATAAGTGTATGAATCAAAATAGATACTTTGAGATTAGATTGACCAAAATATTATTGATTTATTTATTATTATTATTATTATTTCTTTTTTCTGAGGAATAGTTTCTAGTAAAAGTTAGGTTTCACATGAAAAAGCCACCTTTGACGGTGTCGTTATCAGACTAGTTAGGCAAGTGAGTTGGGGATCTTTCTGTAAGCATCCAAAATAAATAAATACCCTTACAAAAAACAATAAATAAATAAAATAAGAAATACGTGGCAACAAAAGTTAACTTTAAACTTTTTTTATTTTTAGAAAGAAAAGAAAAGATCTTTAAACTATTTTCTAGACTTACTTAAAACACATTTTATCTCAAAACCTAAATTAAACATAAAAATCAAATAAACTAACTAAAAACAACCCAACTTAATCGACTAAATCGAGAATATTTCGGAATCAAAACATTTAAACTTTTGAGGAAATTACACACATATATATAGCAAAAAAAGTATGTATTTCAAATATAGCATTAGTTTTAAAATTTTGCACAAATATCTTTGATTACTCTTTCTGTGTTCCACACGATCAATTAGTTTGATGTTGTTGTCGTTGTTGCTGTCATATCATTTATGTACTTACTAGTCTCTATATTTTTTTTCTGGTTCAATTTTAATCATGTGTGTTTGCAGTTAATTTATACGATCTACCTGATTAGGATCTGTATTTTTTTTTTTTGACTAATTTGATAGTATTACAAATTTATATATATTATATTTATTTCCAATTTTTAAGACTATTAATAAAAAATATATTTTTAACATATAAAGTGCATAAAACTAAAATGATATTTTCCATAATATATGTCACATATTTTATTTCTTAAAAATCATTTTTCAAGTATTTTTTTGTTATTGTTTGAAATTTGAAAGGGCAAGGAACAAAAATGAGTTACCAAACCTATTTTTCTGGCTTGTTTTTAAAATAATAAATAATAAGAAACAAAAAACAATTACACAGCTATAATTGTTATTTTGGAAATTATAAATAGAGAAAAAAGTGAGAATATTTAAGACTATTAAATACCTCAATTAAGGACTTAAATTTTACTGTGAAAATAAATCTCAATGGAACTCATTCCAAACTCAAAATTATTGAATACAGATGCTTCATACAACTTAGAGGGAATATGTCACATTAGAGGTGAACCATCAAAGACGTCCTCTAATTACCATGATGAGATTGGTCTTCTTTTAATTTTAGTAGACTAAATTATGAATATAAATAAAGAAATGAATACTGAGCTAATAATTATCGGATGTTTGTTGGAAAATAAAATGTCCCTAATTAATTATTCGAAATATATCTTTGTAATTTCTCTCTTATATATGTTATAAAATTTAGAAGGTGTTCAAGTCTTCTCTAATAATTTCTCCTCCTAAGCTAAATAAGATTTCCTATTTAATTAATATACCAAGCTAGGCTTTCTTATCTTTATCGCATTATTGTAATTTTTGTTTTGTTTTTTGTTTTTTGTTTTTAAAAGATTTTGATATATATCTTTGTGTTTCTCCTTTCAATGGGCCTTACTGACATTTGTCCCAAAAAGACAGAAGACGACGAAAGCTTTAGTTTGCAAAGAAAGAACTTCTAAAATATCTTATATTTCATCCTGCTTATCAATTTCTAAATTCTCATCAATTAGTAGTCACGTGCAAGAACGTGAAAATTATAAATAGAATTATTTAATAAATGTTAAAAAAAGGTACCGACGAGCTCTTCTCGAATCTTTTGTTAAGGACACAATCTCTTATGAAAGTTTTTTTATTTTATTTTTAGCAGTACAACAAATAAGATAGAAAATTCGAACTCATGACTTTTATCAAATCAAGAGATAAATGTTAATTACCACTGAGCTATTGACATTAATATAAATATAATACCTTTTTTTTGTCATAACGATGAAACTAGAATTTTATACTAAAATATGTATGAGTGAACTATATAAATAAAATGTATATGCTGAATACTGTGTGCAATTAAAACATGTTGGGAATTAATAAAAAAAGGAAAAAAAATGGTTCAAATTGTATTTTGGTTTTTTAAAGTTGTAGATTCCTTAACTCACAAAATTTGATGTTTTGTATTAAATGCTCGAGGAATCATTTGTATGTTTATTATAATTGTATTTAAATTTGCATGTGTAGGATCGCTAGAGATCCAAATATTTTAGTAATTAATTAAAGTAGTCTTAGATCTCATCTAAATTAATGAATTTTAAGATTATTTTTTAATAAAATTTAATCTTTTTATCCCAATATTTTTTATCATGAACTTTCAAAATATCTATTTTAATTCTTATAGTTTAAAGGAGCAATCATTTGGTCATCGTTAATATTGCTAATATTTTGCCACCTAATATTTGCTTATCTAATACTCTAATTAAAAATCTACTTACGTACCATTATATATCTATATTATCACATCATACACTTCTTCGAAGTTATATTATTCATTTGTTAA